AAAAACAGAGGAGAATTCTTAATGTAACACATGTGTAATAAAAAAAACAATTTTATAAAGGTAACTAGGAGTCGATATATATGTAACCTAACTAGCTATAGTAATGTAAAAAGTTTTAATACTCCAAATAAAAATATCGAAACAAAAAAATCCAAAACTACAGAAACTGAATCACTTAAAATATTTTATCCTTACCTTGGCTCAGACTAACATAATTACAGTGACTTACATATCAATCCCTACTCATCTTTATAAAATTAAAATTTTTTATCATACTTGTTTGTTCTCTTTTTATTAGCTATATTTTTGTGCCAGCAATACCAAACACGGGGCATGCATATACTCAATTCAATTTTATTATTCATCACATTCTCTAACCTACCCTCAAATCTAATTACAAGCCCAAAGTAGTGCATTATCTGTTTTGCATAAAAACACACACTAGTATCTTTTCGGTACAATAACGCAGGGGTGTAAAAAGTACTAAAATATGTTACTCAAGTTCAAGTAAAAGTACTTTATCAAAAAAGTTACTCAAGCACAAGTAAAAGTATCCATCCTGAAATTTACTTAAGTTAGAGTAAAAAGTATCTACTGAATAAGTATTCAAGTAATAAAAGTAAAAAGTCCACTCATCTGCAGTTCTCTCAAACCTTACATGTATGTTGCAGGCCATGAGGCCTAGAAACAAAACCCTGTATAGAAAAGATTTACCAAACTACCAGTGAATAGCAGCAATGTAAAACTTGTCATTCTTATAGTTATCTAGAACACATTTGTTGTATATAATTGAATACTATGGTATTCACAATACACTTAGGGTTTCAGCCAGCTCATGCTGTATGAACTTAATACAACAATAATGCCAATAACGAATATTGTACAAATCATATTGTTTTAGAATAAACTGTATAAGGAATTAAAAAACAAGTATATGAATTCAACCAACTATATTTTGCACAAACTGGTTTTCAAAGTTGGCACAGTCAAGTCTTGCATGGAGAGGGCTTAAAATCTGCCCAGCACAACTGAAGAGACACTCGCAGGCAGTGGCGTGTTCAAACATGTGGCTATATCAGGTACGCTGGAGAAAGACTTAAAAATCTCCATGCCATTAACAGAGCATGTTAGGTATGGCCCTAGGTCCCTCTTCCCAAAGCTATACTGTGGCTTCAGAGTACCTGCTTACGTCTTGCATTTTGACTGCCTGCCTCAAGTTTGAGTTTTGAGAATAGTAACCAAATGTATAAAGTGAAAGGTACTGGAGTAAAAGTACAAGTAATTCTCCTAAATATTACTTAAGTTACAGTACAGGTATTTGAAAATATAAATACTTTTTAAAAAGTAGATACTGAAAAAAAGTTACTCAAGTACTATGCTCAAGTAAAGTTACTTTGTTACCTTTATACCCCCACAAGAAAGGAATCTCTGGGAACCCAGACAGAAGAGTTCTGTGAAAGAATTAGAGCAATGAAGTTAATTGATTTTTTTCTCTACACTTGTCTGGAAAAGTCACTTTCTTATTTAGGTGAAAATTTGTTGAAATAGTGAAATTTTAATTCACTCCATCAGCATGTATATAGCAATTTAGGCAGCTTTATAAGTACAATAATCTTTAGTTTTGCTCAGCCAAAACTATGAAATAGTTATTGTTAATATTTGGACATTTTAAAGGTGATTTTAACCAAGAGATTTTTATGGCCACTATCTAATTTTGTCATGATTCCTACTATTAAGTACTAATGTACTTAATGATAATACCTGTAAAGTATGAAGTTTTAAAAGCTAATTTTATTGTTCACTGGAACTAAGCACATTTAACCCTTTCACTGCATAATTAGATTTCGCAGTCAGTCCCCAATCAATGTCAATTATTTCCACTGCTACCCATTTCAACCCATCCAGCTTTCACCTTCAATAAACTTCTCAACTTTTATCTTCTGAAACTGCTTTGTTACAAGGCAAGTAACCAGACTTGGGCCAATAACATTAAAAACAAGAGACCACATAATATATATATACACTTCTTTGAAATATGGTGATCAAAAATTACTTTTGGCATTATGTAAATATACATTTAATGAACCAAGTTATGTTTTATAACTAAAAAGGATATTAACACAGTTTTTACACATTTTCAAAACTCACATGCTGTCAATGTGTTACTCATTAAGACACATTTTTGTTGTTGTTTGTACATTTCATGCAAAGCTACTTCAGGTATATTTGCACTAGTCATCCCTAATATTGAAGTGACAGATTAAAGAGAAAGTAACCACCAACCACTGCCAATTGAATAGTGGGATTTGATTGTCACTCTTACAATGCACCCATGTCCTCAAAATGCAGTTGGTCAATTTTGGGGAGAGAGAGTAAAAGGGTACAAACCACAGAACCCCAGATTCAGTCTGGCACACTAACTACTAGGCCATGCTAGGCCCATTATGATACAAAAAGTATGCAATCTTGCTTATAACAAATCAGCCTAGTCTTGATCAATGCTAAATTTAGATGTTCACAAGTAATCTATTACTTTTAGCATGTCAGCCTAGCCTCAATCTATACTAAATGTAAATATTTATAAGTAATCTATTGCTTGTAACAAATAAACTTAGCCTTGATCTATGCTAAATCTAGATGTTCACAAGTAATCTATTACTTTTAACAAATCAGCCTAGCCTCAATCTTTACTAGATTTAGATATTCATAAGTAATCTATTACTTTTAACAAATCAGCCTAGCCTCAATCTTTACTAGATTTAGATATTCATAAGTAATCTATTACTTTTAACAAATCAGCCTAGCCTCAATCTATACTAGATTTAGATATTCATAAGTAATCTATTGTTTGTAACAAATAAGCTTAGCCTTGATCTATGCTAAATCTAGATGTTGGGTATAATATAACACTTGGTACAAAACAGTCTAGTTTCAATATGTGCTAAGTCTAAGTGTTTACAACAGCCACAACTAACTCATATTTTATACATATTTTAAAAAAAGGCAAATAAGGACAGCACTATGATTTATGGTCTTTGGTATTACAAAATCACCATTTTTTTGTTTTTTTGTTTTACACTTGACAATACTTTTAATTAGTGACAAAGAAAAGTAGATAAAACTATTCTACCATCAATGGCAGTAATAGTAAGTTTATCATGCTATGTTCCAGGCAGTCATTCTTGATTATTATACTAAAGGACACCAAGCACAACATACATTTATTTCTAAGTCAGCTGCTATATAAAAAAAAGGTGTCTCAGAAGTCTGGACCCATAGGGAAAATAGACATTATTTTCTTAAAAGTTAAACAAACACATTTTTAATGTCAGTTGTAAATACTTCAGGAAAGAAAATATCCTGATGGCACAGTATACCAAGAATTGATGTGTGTATGGCTGTTAATGGCATGCAATTTGAATAATAAATAAATTCAGAATCAACTGTGTATTTTTCTCTATGGGCCCAGACTTCTGGGACACCCTGTACAATATTTATAGCATACATTAAAACTACTTCAATTCACACCAGATATTATAAATTAAGAATTTATGAATACAGAGTTTCCACAACAAAGATATGCTATGAACCTAGGAAATGCTAAAATAATAAACTGTGACACAATACATTTTATAGTATATGTATTATTAGCTGCTGTTTTAGTATAAATTTGTGTAAGCCTTTTCCTATGAAGAAAGTGAAACTACAAGGCACATTTTAAAAATGAGACTAGATCCTGCAAAAAATATGAGTCAGTCTCCCAGACAGTGATAAGCAGTGTGAATGTTGACCAAAAACCTTTTGGTTTTCCACTGGACAATTTAGTTAAAAAATTTTGTTTTCAGTGAATCTTCAGATGAAATGTACACACACATTTCTCCACTCTGCAAAGAGTAATTTTTTGTGGTAAACCATCAAACAAAATTGAAAATTAGTAAGAGATCTCTATGCATCAGGTTCAAATTCTGCAAAAACTAAAACTTCAAGGATATTGTCATACAAAATATGAATATTTATAACAATCAATAAAGCTGGAGGACACCTGCAAGCAATGTGAAATTCTAAAGAATAAAACCTCAACAAATTCGAAGCATATCCACCAGAAATCAAAATAAACACCCACTTGGTATAGTACATTTTCTAAACAAATATACATCAAATGCAATCTAACTCATGTTATAACTAACACAAAAAGTACCAGTAAAAGTTAAATGAAATTGGATGGTATCACACTTTTCAATAAGATGTACTGAGTATGGGTGAGTGTAAATGAAACCAATAAAAATAATTTTTCAAAAAACCACCAGAGGTCAAGATAAACTGGCTCGGAGCTATAAAAAGACTACATAATCAGCACAAACTTGTGTTAAGAAAATTAGACTATTTTCGTTTCTGAAACAGTGACACTTCTTTAGCTGATGCTTGTTTGTTTTGAAATTAGCGCAAGGGCTATTTGAGGTAGCCATCCTTAATTTAGCAGTGAAATACTAAAGGAAAGGCAGCTAGTCATCACCACCCACTGCCAACTCTTAGGCTATTCTTTTACTAACGAATAGTGGGATTGACTGTCACATTACAATGCCCTCACAGCTGAAAGGGCGAGCATGCTTGATGGGACAGGGATACAAACTCACGACCCTCAGATTGCGAGTCGAGTACCTTAACCACCTGGCCATGCTGGGCCGATTAACTGATGCTAATTACATAAAAATAAAAGGGGTTTTTCAAGAAGTCAACTCTACCATGATATAACCTCCACTAATGAACGCTCTGGTTTCTACTATTCATTTTCATATTGATTAAAAGTATCAACTGAGAAGACATAGTTCTGTAAATAACATTGAGATATTCCCAAAATATTTAGTACATTTTACTATGCAGAATAATTAATCACAAAAACCCAAAACGTGAGAACTATCCTTTTTAAAAGACAATATAGTTACAGCAAAAATATTTTTATATGTCTAACATTTAACTAAATTAAATAAGCTTAGGCTTACCCCACTTCCTTGAGAAAGCCAGTAACTAAGCCACCAATTGCTAAATGCTATGCATGCAGCTTGAAGAATGAACCATATGAGAACCAAGAAGGAGACAATGTATCCCCCTGCAGCTAAGATGTAGCTTCTATAGGTGTCAAAAGATATGTCTCCTTGTTTGATCTCTTCCTCAGTCATTAGTCTAACTAACGTAGAAATAAAAAAAATTCACTGTGGTATCTCTGTAGAATATTTAAATTCAAAAACTAAATATATTGTATAATTATGATCATTCACAAATAATATACTTTTATAGTTTATGTTTTTAACCTGCATGACAAAATTAGTTTTCTAGATTTTTCAGTGTGCTATAGAAATAGGCATTTTGAAAGTATCAATTCACTGTTGCTACTACAACACTATGAGCCTCTGACAACAATGAATCAACAGATATACATTTTTCTAACTAAGTATGGTATGGAAGTTATCATATAGCTCAGCATAGTCTTTACTGCTTCCCCTGAAGTTGGCTATAAGGCAGGCATAGTGTCACTACTGGATACCTCACTGAGCATGTGGTTTTATACCCATCAAAACAAAGAAAAACTGTTCAATGCAAATAGCAGATGCTATTCGTAGCCAATGTTCAATTTTCAAATCATAAAACATTTATTCACAGCAACTCAAGGGTAAACATGAATTACAGTTGCTTAAAATTTTACGAGCTACTGACCAATAGTAAGTTTGAAAAAAAAACTCTGCAGAGGTATCTGTAAGACCAATAATGTAAGAATAAATATCATTTTCACTTATATTTATTACTTGTATAATTGACTGTTTATAATCCCCATATGCACATGCACATACAGAAACAAGGAGGAACACCAGTATTAAGACCAGAAAATCTGAATGTGAACCAATTTTATGATTTGAAAATATGATCACCCTACATAGTATGTCAACAAAGTAAAAACAAACTAATAATTATATAGTTATTTCTTACCATCTGCTAGATTAGTTTCAGCTATATCAGACAGAGATGCAGAGGCATTAATGCTGGTACTGGTACTTCTACTGTGGCATTGTACTTTAGCTCGGGTTTCAAACTCTTCCACAGAACGACTAAATCCTGAAAAAAAGTTAAGACTTTACTTAGAAATTATTGCATCTGGCCAGCAAGAAAAATCTTTTATTAGTCTACTTTTTAGTTCACCTAGGCCTACCTACTGTATTTTGCTGAATGCTTTGTTTGCTTGTAATTAAGCACAAATCTACACAATGGGCTATCTGTGCTTTGCCCACCATGGGTATCGAAACCCGGATTCTGCCAATGACTGCATTTTCTGTTAATGACTTTACAAAAATAAAATGATTAGCATTTAGAAAAACATATTGAAGATATAATTCTAAGTAGAAAGTAGCATTTAAACAACAAAAACTTGAAATTTTATTATTAGCAACTTATCATACTTCATGTACTTGTGATGATTGGATATCAATCATTGTAATGGTTAGAAGCTTAGTAATTAGTTACCATTCTTTTTGTCTTTTATTGCTAGATACTAATTACTAACTAGTTTTATCATATGTTTTGACTGCTAATCTGCTGCTATCTTCAAGGAAGACCTGAGAAAGATTGAATTATTTTTCTGTGGTAGTTACAGGACTTCAATTTTGAGTCAGTGCTCCAGAGAAGGGGCATATCGGTATAATTCTCAATCAAAAATCAGCCATTTATGGCCTTAAAAAAGTATTGAGAAGTTGTTTTACTGCCATAGAAAAATAAATACAACTCCCGATGCTTTAACAGTAGTACAGTAATTAATAGTCTAGTTCTTGTAGCTCTCTGCAGTTTACACAGTAGATCTAAAAATAAATGTTCTCTAACCACCAGAAGTTTATATTGGTACATTCGTGAATGATCTAATTTTGTGTAAAAAAAAGAATAAAAGAAAAAGTTGTAATGTCATTACTTGTGTTTATTATTACTACATCTGGTGATTTAATTTGCTAAGCTAATCTTGTGACAGATTCACCTTTCGAAATAACAATTTACAATTAAATTACTTTTTATCACAAAATGTTACTGCTACACTTTGTATAAAATTTAATTACTCCCACTGACAGAATTCTGAGAGTGATTACTCCTTATAGAAAAAATTTAGCTGGAGCACTGTTGAGTCATCCTGTTAGAAAGGCTACTATGCTATTCCCTTATTCAGGATTTCCTCCATTGAAAACTAGAATCAGAACTATTTGAATACTTTCAAGGAAGGTGTCTAGGTTATGCTAGATTGACTGAATGTGTTCTCAGTTAGTTGGATGTAGAAGGCTTCTTTTATCTTTCTATTTCATATGTGGTTTATACCCCATTATTTTGGTATTATTCATTGTTATCATATGATCTTCTCTGACATAATGGGCTCTGCAGATACGTTTATATTACTGAGTCTTGTATGTCTTTACATACTTTGAATTATAACTTTTGCTAGTCTTTCACCAGTACTCAGTAACTTTAACCTCTACATGGAACATTTTGAAAATAATGAGCTTAAAACCTCTTTTCTGAGATGCAGAATTCAGCTGTGCTATGGTGACACTATTTCTTAATAATTTGGCAAACAATGATTTGTAAACATAATAAAGCAATTTAGTTTTAGGAGGAACATACTACATGTTTCAACAAACCATTGGTCTGTCTTCTTCTAATATGGTTCAGACTTGAATACAGACTGACCAGATTTGTCAACACATGTAGTATGTCCCCCTCCCACCAAAAATAAATCACTTCATTGCTTATATACTTTTGTCAAATTATTATATTAGCATAATGTGCTTCCTTACTCAAGAATCTATTTCATAATATAGACAAACACAACAGATAAGATTCCAGAATTTATAAACCATACTAACAGACAATATCCAGCAATACAATTCACAACAGATATATAAAAACAAAATTCTTATTCCCAGATGTGACGGTTACTAAGACACAGCTTATGTACCAACAGATGTAGATAAATACCTCAACTATAAAACAAACCATTCTAAGAATGTAAAGATGAACATCATATACTTTCTAGTTAATTCACAGAGATATGCAAATTTTACCTTTTACAACTGTTGCCAGTTTCCTGTCTTCAAGTTCGTCCTCTCTTTTTATATATGACTTAATAAGAGCTGCATATTCTCCATCTTTATTTTTCAGCTCTCCATCTGTACCCTGTTCAATGATCTTCCCTTCATGCATTAAAACCACCTCATCACATTCTTGGATATACTATACAATGACATGGAATATGGCATTATTTTCTGAATATTTGCCAGTTACCTAAACAAAGAGTCAACTGTCATCCAATAAAAGTAATTCTGATTCAGAACTATTTGAGTATGTTGGTATCATTGGCCACTGTAATTTAAAGAAAAACACAAACAAAAACTGTTCTAAACAAACAAGCATACATGATCTCCATTTAGTGTAATCTACATCAGCTGAACCGTTGATGCCAAATTATTACAATATTACTATAAATATCAACAGCACTTGTCATTTGTTGACTACAATAGGAAGTGTCAGTGAGTTGTAAATCATGCACTAATCTTAACAAAAATTCATAATCAAGTTATGATAAGAAAAAAGTGAAGTTTTGCATGTGCTAAATGAGATCATGTGTCACACACTCTGACATCATATGCCATACAACTTAAAAACTGATTGTTTCAGAGGTAGTAATCAAGTGCACTCATTATATACATCTTAAGGTAGTGTTCACATTGTAAACAAGCATTCTTCCTCTTAAATGTTTAACTTGTGATATGTACATTTTCTTCATTCACTCTTTTAATATTTAGTTAAACCTGCTCTAATACAATTTTTAAAGTTCTTATAACTTTGGTTTTTGGTTTTGTTTCACTGTACATATAAATTTTTAAAATATAGGTTTGTGATACATATGTATGAAATGAAAAAATATAAAACTCTGTGAAGATATACATATCACTTACTTATTTCTAAAGAATATATTTAGATAACATTCGAATATGATAATGCCCCTATTATTGGGTTCTTAGGTATGTCACATTTTAAAACTTTGGGGGTAGGCAATGTAATTAACATTTTACTCAATCCTGTAAAGATAATCAGTTAACAATTGTAATAAATTTACTTTAAACTGTTCATCAAAATAAGATTATCAAAATGAGCATAATGTCATAAAAAAGGTAGGTTTTTAAGCTACCTTAATGATTATATACAAAAGTAACCAAAGATGGCAAACTAAATTCTTGTCCAGGTTCAAATGTTTTAGTACTTATTATACAAGTATTTTAAACCTTCATAAACAGTTCCACAATTAAAATACGATAAATGCATCATCTACACATATACTATAATAAAATGACTAAAGTCAGCAAGATATTCCTTCAATTATTGTCTTTTATGAACATTTACAAAAAAATTTTTCACAGCACACAAAAACTTGGACCTCATACTAACTCCATTAATGTTATTTCAATAAATACTAGTGTATTTCACACATTATTCCAGCATGAAAACCAAATAGTTTGATTAGTTTGTATACACTCTCAGATACAATTTTACCTTTCTTCAGCTGTAGCAAATACGTTAATAATTATGACTTTGAAAACAAATTGTTCAACCAAGTACTACAAAAAATCATACTTCTACACACACTATGTGGATGAAACTTTCACAGTTATATCCAAAGACAACTTCTGGTTAAAGAAATTTCATGACATTGATTTCCATTGACTCTTCCAAACAGTTCACTTATGCAGCTGAAAGTGACAATAAAATCGAATTTCTAGATGTTTCAATCACAAGACATTTAAATGACACAATTGAAACAGAAGTTATGGGCTTTCAACTGAATCCATTATGGAGAACATTTTTCAATGGAATAAGTATGAAGAAATCAAGCTAAAAAAACAACACTCGCTAGATTTCGCTGTTTACACACAGTATACCCTTGAAAATGACACACGAATACATCAAAACTAGTCGGGATAATCAAATTCATATTTTTGTAAATTTATGTTTGTTACTTAATTTGTGCTTATAAAGCTGTTAATCTTTACAACATATATAGATAGCACAAAATACTACACAACTTGAAATTAATCGAGAAACTACAAGCTTTTAATTCACATAATTTTAAAACCTTCTCTACTGTCAATTTTAATTTAAATGCAATAATTCAAGAAGATTATACTTAAAAAATACATGCACTTAATTGCTTAGTATAAAGATGAGTTAAGTTATAGCCTCTAAACTTTTAAACTTCGGAACAATTCATATCCACAATTTCAACTTAGGCACTTTAATTTTTAAAAGGATATTTAAACTGACACTACACAGACCTACTAATAAACTATTACAAAACACAGAAATAGTTATGTAACATTTCATATTTAATCAAGCCCTAACTCAAAGTTTCAAAGCTTATTAAATTAAATATAGATAATAAGCTCAATTAAACTTCACAATTATCACATGTATATATATATATATATATATATACACACACTAGCATACACAAAACAATAGAGTATAATTTAAAGTTAGAATCTCTCCTCCACTTTACACTTTAGACAAACATTAAATCCTCTTTCCCCCATTAATAATTGAAATTCACATGTAAGCTTTCCAATGATCTAAAGTTATCATCAGGCAAAGAACTTATGGTGTAAATGTTTAAATGCAAGCATATCTTGAATTAACTAGAAGTTAAAGTTTAAATATAATATGCCACAACTAGTTCTGATGTTTAAGTTTTACTCTATATTGTTGCATTTCAAAGAACTACTGACTTGTATTCAAAGTCAGTATTTTCTAAGCACATGCTTTCTATAACTCATAATTTGCAGTTAAAGAATCACATTCTGTATTTTATGGAATAACTTTTGATCAGGTTGATGGAATTATCTAATATCAAATCCTGCAGCTGTTGTGGTCAGTTGAATTTAGATTGAGTTTACATAGAAAACAATGGTTTGAGGAATGTACTAGTGACTTTGACTCACTTTGTTGCAGAAAATATGTAGATGACTGGCACATTTACAGTTTTTAATCTCCAAGTCAGGTTAATGGATTTTTAAAATATTTGAACAACAAACATTCAAACATAGCAATTACAGTTGAATGTTAATAAAAACGTAGCTTGCCATTTTTGACCATCTTGACATATACTCAGTAAAGTAGTTTTAAAATTGGCTTACATCATAAATCAAAATTTTTCAGGAATTTTCAGTTTTGTTCCTTGGGCATTTAAAGCAAATTCAGTTAAAGTGACTGTTAATCTTTCTTACAGAATTGTAAACAATTAAATTATACTATAATCAGGGAAATACTTATAAAAGTTACAAGCAATGCACATACAGGAATCACAAATGAGTAATTGCAACTAAGTGTTAAATTTATTAAAGGTACTAGACATTATCACAGAAAATACAGAAGTTAAAAAGCTGTACAATGCATTACTATTTTTTATGTGAGTACTTTGCTTTACAGAAAATATTATGTAATGTTTTCTTATTGCTATCCAGTTTATCCTGTATTACTCCCCTCAATTCAGCTAAGTTGATTAATCTCCTTCTGACCTTTTCAGTTCTTATGTAAGCCCACACAACCTCAAAAACATTTATATCAGGACTATGAGCATACCAAACTATGGTTGTGACATTCTTCAACAGATTGTTTAAACAAGTTGCTGTCCATTCAACTAACAAAAAAGAACTTAGTTTCAATAATAGGTAGTGATTATCAACAGTTAGAGAACAGATGAGTAAGAAAATCTGTTATGAAAAACTATACCTAATAATGATAAAGTTTTGTCATTTCCAAATTTATATGAATCATTGCACAGAGGTGCAAGCTCTATCACTAAGAGACCATCTACTTGTGTAACTTCGAACTTGAGAAGTTATGAAGAACTGCATTACATGTTTCTCTTAACTAACAATGTTTCCATAATTTGTGTGAATCTAACAACAGCAAGCCTGAAGCTGACATTAAATTTCCATAAGCAACAGTAAATAACCTTTATTTTCACCATTTTAACTTCAATATAATATTGTGTACATTGTTTTTCAATTACCAAAACATCTGTAAAAGTCAACAGGCATGACAGAAATCAATACTTCAGAATTTTTTGAACTTGTTAGTTGTATTAAGCAGCTGTTGGATGACACATCCAGAAATAATATTTTAAGGTTGAGAGTGAAGAACTCTCCACATTTCCCCATGGCAATGCTCCTAAACCCATCTTGAAACAGAATCATACCTAGGAACAGATCATTTTGCAACAATACATCCTGTTGAATCATAAGTGAATGAAGCATGTTTATAAATGTTTCTAATTTTAAGAATGAACATTGAAATCATAGAATCAAATGTAAAAAATATGGAACTAAGTATCATACTTGCAACTGGTGAGCCACAAGTATAACACTCTTTCCTCGCAAAGCTCCCTTGATGTAATGCTGAAAGATATGTCGAGCAACTGAGGCATCTACACAAGACAAGGGATCGTCCAACAAATACAATTCTGCATCTGAATAAAGAGCTCGAGCAAGACTAATCCTTTGCTTCTGTCCTCCACTAAGTGTGACACCTCTTTCCCCGACCTATTCAGGTATAAAAACATGAAGAATAAGTTTATATAATTCAAGTGAAGTAATAATAGCCAAAATCTACATTCTTTAAACATAACAAAAAAAAAGATCAAAAACACTAATAAGGTTATCTAAATAAGATTTGAATGCCAAAAGGTGAGAAAACAAAAACACTAAGAGATGAAAAATCACATTAGATTTATTTATTTTTTTTTCCATTAATAATTTCAGATTTTCTTTTGTTTCCCTTAAGTTAGTGTCCAGGAGACTCAATCAATACCAGATCATGATAACTGAGCTGAATGAATCATAAGGGACAATCTCACTACTTCTAATCAGGACCGCTGATGGGGGGTTAATGGTGAAAATTACCCTGGGCCCGGGGTCATCAGGGGGCCCATAATAAGGTAACATGCACAAAGAGTTATATTAAAATATAACCAGTAAATTTGTACTTAAAAGTTAGACCTTAGCGAGTCTGTAAAACAAGTAGTGTTCAATTTGTTTATAAGGTATTAAGTACTGAACTTTGTAAGTCATACGATTATGGAGGCCCATATGTATCACCAGGCCCAGAATATCTCTCGGCAGCCCTGCTTCTAATGATCTCGTGAGACAAAAGTATAGAACCATTTGCACTAGAGATGGTACATTATTAGCAACTATTTTAGGTAAGTGTTTTTCTTTTCAGTTTCTAAGGTGTAAAACTGTAATATACTTAAAGAAGTCAGGCAGTTTTGTGATGTTATGAAAACATGCTTGGGTGAATAAGTACATGTGCTTTAAATTAGATAAGAGTGAGCTGATCAAGTTTGAAAATTTGTAATGGTCATTTGAACTACTACCTTAAGAATAACTGGTGGTCTGTCATTATCTTGTTACTTAATTTTGCATGCTGGCTAAATATCCTAAACTTAGAATATTTACTTATAAATCAGCCTGTACCATCACTCCTTTTTGCTGTATCAACACAAAAACACATCTATCAAATAAGTGGCTAAAACTCTCAGCATGGGCTCGGTCAAGATGACTGACACTGCAACCATTAGGTAACCAAAAAAGTATCCATACTATAACTTTTAATGTGGTAAGTATCTTCATGAAATTTGGCAAGCTTTTAGTAAACGTTACAAGTCTTTTTTTTACACAAGAAATCAGATTTTTTAAAATAAATATTTTTACTAAAGATCTATCCATGAATATATGGAGTCAGTGTTGACAAGTTTAAGAGTAAGGTGATTTTCTTATGATTAAATATATTTTTCCATCTTTTAGTTTTTTAAATCTATTTGCATAACCTATAAAACCTTCTAAACAAACATCAAACTTTTCTTTAAAATTATATTTTATTTTCTTTACTCAAACTCTATACAGACTTGGTCAATTTGACAGATCTTATAACCAAAAAAAATTAATTAAATCTTACTTATTCTTCATTTCTTTCTTAAATGACTGTAGGTTATAACAGAAAATAATTATCCTAAACAGCTTAAAGTTTGCAACAGTTTATATGATTACATTTAGGTTTATTGCTCTTTGAACTGTCTAACTAATAGCCCCACAATATAACAGATAACATACACAAATTCCTTACCTCTTTGTTAATTAAGAAGATAAAACACGTACGTTTGGAATAATTTTGTGTCATATCAAAAAGTCATAGCTGGGTATAATAACCATTTCCAATGAATTAAACAATGATAAAATTAAAACTTTATTATAGGAGCTTCTCAAGATAACAATAAAGATTATGTTCATGATCACACTTCATGAACATGGTCTATCTTAAAGGAAAAAATAAAAGATAAAGTTGTTGTTTTCTTAGTGCAAAGCCACACAATGGGCTATCTGTACTCAGGATACCGTGGGGAATCAAATCCAAGATTTTAGTGTTCTAAGTCCTTAAATTTACTGCTGACCCACTAAGGTATAAGAATAGAGCAGAGTAATGAAATGAAAATGTATATTTAAAAAAATTACTAAACCTTTCTTGATTATTCTTATCCAAATGTGATGGCTGGTTATATTTAATTTCATCAGAGGAGTACAAAAGATGCATGGATCAGTTCTGAATTCCATGCAAACAGCAGGAAACTGCTATAATATAAACAAGTCTACATAAAATATTGTGGAAAAGGAGCTTGGTCATGATTGATAAAAACATATACTCAGAATCACATGACATAAGGTCACTGCTCTTGGTCAGCCTCCAATGAGTAAATATACACTATAAAAGATATGTAAATAGCAATAATGATGAAACTTGCTATTTCTCGAAGTTTACAACACACATATAAAAATAATTGCTAACTTTTTCCAAACTCAAAGCAAATTAGGAAGGAAAAAATGGAAACAAAGAATGTGAGATATCATTAAGTTACTAGAAAGATTCTGGAACACATCAACATATAGCTACAAAATATAAATCAGTACCAAAGCAAATTCTTATTCATTAAGATTTTTTACAAACAAGAAAATTCTTTGCTTCCTCACTCTATTTTAAATAAAGCCTATGAATTTTAAAAACATAGTTAAAACTTAATTACTTAATCTGGGATGTTAACCCTATTGCCACAGGTCACGAATCAAAGGCCATGTCATCATGTTTGTTGACTTGCATTCAAAATTTTATTGAACTACTATTTTATGAATTTATGTCAATACGTTTGGTTTCAAACTGTAGATTATAATTCAAATTTTAGTACTATACATTATTCAATTATTTAATTTAAAAGTAAATATTAAAAACACACTAAAACACCGATTTGTGTGTGTCACATGGTATGTTGAGTGTGGCACTGGTTCAAATTAGATGTTTGTGATGTCAAAGTACAATGTCTATAGTTTCATACGAATTAGGAAAACTCAAATTACCGATATTAACAAGCTAGAATATAAAATAAGAACCTCCTATCTTTTCTATTTGTTGAGTTATTGCTCATGTACTGAATCAAATAAAGTAGACCTGCTCACCTCTTCCCATTTTTGGAAACAGTTCCTTATATACACTTACTTGTGTATATGACATGTGAATAACCAATCTAAAGCTCAGAATGTCCCCCTAGTGGCTTTCTTAGCCATTTTCATGTGTTTGGATGCCATCTCGTTTTTTCTAAACAAGATTTCAAGGAGGAAGGTTGTGTCTTTAGTCTGCTCAAAATTTCATATACAACTTAGTTACCAAGCTTGATAAATTATAGTGGAATTCTATGTTATCGATATAGTAACATAAGATTTCTTTGTTTATTCACATGTATATATAAAAAAACCTAAAAAAACATTTTGTTTCACATCTTCCATGTGCAAAATTTCTTAAGGCTTAGCAAGTTATGAGAAGCAGCAACTGAGTAAGGTCGTAACAAGAAGAGATAATTGTTTGCTTCACTTCTTCATTTACTGTTCTACGTTTTAAGAAAAGCAAGTTTAAGAATTTGTTTGTAAATAGTAATAATCTATATACATATATAATGTATAATAATTGAAATGTGACTATTTTAAAAAATACTAATCCACTAAAACACAGCCAAGACAGGTCACTTTGTAAAGACTAAAGGTCAGTTTTATATCATTAGATACAGTAACATGAGTGCACATGTGCTGTGTCATTGTAACTTCTGTATTGTCAATATAACAAAAATATATAATGTTATGAGATTTAAGTTATTTAGACTAAACATTTATGTTTTTGTGTTATAATCTGTAGTCATTCTATAACGAAAAAAGCATAATTTTCATTTATTTACTAATTCTTTATGGTGGTTATGAGGTCAGTCAAATTGACAGACCCTGTATAGTTAAGGTATAGAAAATAACTGACAAAATTAAAAAGTTTTACTGAAAACAAGTGTTTGAAATGTATTCAGGAGGTTTCAGAGATTACACAAATAATATTTGAGATTTTTGGGACAAAGAATAGTTTTTTAATCATGACATGAAAATCACTTCGCACTTGGACTAGTAACGAAACAGACTCGATATTTGCACAAACAAATCTTTAGTGAAAAAACACTTCATTAAAAAATCTGATTTTTTGTGTACAAAATACTTTGGAATCATTACTAAAAGTCTACCAAATTTCATCATTAAAAGCTATTGTATAAATACTTAACGTGTGCATATGTGTATACGAACTAATGTATTTCATACAGAGGCCATCACAAAATGGTTAACAGAAGTATAAAATAATATAATTAACTAATTTAAAAATATAATCTGCATATTATCCACACTTCCATACCTGGCTAAAATATGCTAGTAAATAATGAATGTCCAAATGTATGATAACTAATCTAAATTTATCTTCAAAAAGCCAACAAAACCCACTTTCCTAAGAATGAATTTTCCATAGTCCTGTCAAGAAGATTAAATCTTCTTGTTTTCCTTCAACTTACAACCTCTAAATCATTTCCATTCTCTTAAATTTTTTCACTAATCTATGCTACATGTAATAATTGATTACTGCTGCAGTGGCACTTATACAAACCTCTGTTTCATCCCCTCCAGGTAGAGCTGCAATATCTTCAGTCAGACTACAGCAATATACAGCCTCATAGTACCTGTAAACAAGAAATTCAATAAGATAAATTCTAGCAAAGCAAGACAGATTCTGTAAAACTACAGGAGTATATAGTTTTACATTAGATTAATACCATGTTTACCATTCAGGCTTAGGTTATATCAGTATGAGCTACATATTATTAGTCTCCTCCTGCTTGTGACATTGAATCATATTTTATAGGCTGAACACCATCATTTATTACCAGTATATTAAACTCAATGTACACAGTTTTATATCACTTCTTATTTACAGTACATCATTGTCAAATAAAACTAATATTGTTAAAGTCTCATGTGAACTCATCAACATACAATTTAAAAACAGTATTCTAGTCATACTACTCAGCACGAAACAACCAATAAACAATTGATTCAGTTAGATTACTCAGATTATTTGTAACAAATAATTACTTATAAAAAAAAAAAAAAAAAGTTAAAATTTTAAAAAAAAGATGGCAATAAACACTCAAAACAAACTATTTTAAATTATGAATCCAGTCTATAACCCAATTTTTTTACATAAACATTATACAATAAATTTTAAGTCACCACACTACAAATTAACACAATTTTACAAAATTACCGTTTTGATTGAAAGGGCAAGCCAAATAATATGTTTTCTCGGATAGAACTGTTTAAAATCCAAGGGTGTTGGGGAACATAAGCAAGTGACCCTCTTACCGACACTTGACCATGACGTAAGTGCATCTAAAGAATAGGTATTAATAATATTTTTTATACATGTTTATTTAAAATTGTTATTAAATGCACATTTTCTTATAAATGATTTTCAAAATAACTGAATGACACCCAGAGATAGTTTCAACTCGCAAATAAATTTATTTTTCAATACCAAACACTAACATTGCAGACAATGCACAAATGTTGAAGTCACTGTTGTTAATTTCACCTTTATATCCTGATAAATGTAAAAAAGAATTTTCTATACCATGTTTACAAATGCTGCTTAATATGAATGAAGATATAGTCCACTGTATCCAAAACAATAAAGTCACTGTTGCAGTTTACAAAAAAAATTATTAAACATAAAAAACAAGCATTTATTAGTACATTTTTTGTGTTCATTTGTCAAATGTAGGCTTCTACCTCCCATGAATAATTGACCAAAGATCACAATTAGTTTGGTAACATCTAGTTTCTTAACAAGAAGGGTGTAAAGTTTGCTTAGATAATCCTTTATTACATTATTTAAAAACCAAAGATACATTAAAACAAAAAAAGCTTTAAAATTTCAATTCCTTGATGAAAACCATGAAACCAGTTCATCAGTCTGTAACTTTAATATGATAAAACAGGATGGTTACAATTATTACAAACAGAAACTATCAACAATATGTAAACTTATAATGATAAAATCAAACCAACATTTTCACAAACACTCATTTTGTAAGACTTGAATCCGAGATGGATAAACAGAGCATTTTTATTCTTTAATAGCAAATTTCACAGTTGAAAATTACCAATTAAAACTTATAAACTAGATGAAAAACAAGAATGTTGTCTCAAAATTAGAAAGTTGGCATTTAACTTACCTATGTTAACAATAAAACATTTAAATTCTACACAAACTTTATGAAACCTTCAAAGTAATCACACTAACACTATTAAATATAAAATAAAACTGTAAGGTGACAAATACCAAACACTTTACGAAGATCTTTATGTCACTGGAAAAATATGTGAAACAAGTTACGCTTATATAAACAATGTTTACAGAAATATACCTATATGGAAGACTAGGGTACTAAATAAATCAAATTAAAGTATTAAAAACTGAATCTGTTTTTCACTATAAGTTCAAGGATAAATTGTTTTAAAAATCAAATAAAAGGACAACTAATTTGTAAACAAAAGTGTTAATGTTAGACACACTTGATCTACATGTAACTAGGAATCACTTTTATTAAGTCTAGGAAGACCATAAAACATCAAGTTTACTTATAAACTTACTTTCCTTCCTATAATTCCTAACAGATAATTCTGAAGCTTCCTTTCTTGTTGCAAATTAGAATCATAACCAAGAATTTTAAAGTACTTAAACCAGGCCTCAACAAATACTTTCAGATCTAGGAGCCAGCTCAAAAACTTGGGAGCCAGGTGTGCCTAACCTACTTTTACTACTGTTTGTACCAGGAAATGGGGCTACTGTGTATTTATTTATTTATTTATTTTCACAGCAACGAGTGCATGCTAATGATCACACGATACCAGCAATCAGTTGATAGTACTGCCTGAACTAACTGCCTTTGGTCCCATCTGAATCTAGACACAAGCACTGATTGGTTAAATTGAGAGAAAGAAGAAAAACAAAATGGCATGAAATTAGTAACGTGTTGTTCAACTGCAGCACTTCATTCCTGAAAAAACATGAAGTGCTGAATCACCAATAAAATCATAGAAACAATTTAGGGCTCAAAGAATGTGAAAAATAGTTCCGGACTTCTTCTAGATTTGAGTTCAATTTAGCACAGCCCTATTTACGAAAAAAAATAGGAGAAAATACTGGTGCCCAGGATTTGTCGAGGCCTGAATAAAAGTTTAATATAACTTTTTTATAAAAAAACCACTACTATTACTTATATCTGATTTTACAGTAAATAATTATTTTAATAAACTTAATTATAATCTTTCATTTTTAGACAAACTAGATGTAAAAAACAAACAGCCAGAAATGTCAAAACCAGAAAATACAGTTATAATATTTTCAGCACTTCTACAATGCATGTAATTTACAGGAATAATTTTTTTAAGTGCTGTAATATACATTCAAATTTGACATAAAAAAAACAAATTTTTAGTAAAACTAAAGCTGGACAGTTAACTTGATTAATCAATTTAACCAACAAGTGTCATATAACTGATTAATTGAAATGATAATGAAATCAAGTAATGTCCCAAGCATTAATGTGACAACACAATGAGTATGAAGCAAAACAGTGAGTAATGTAAAATAGCAATAAATGTGTGACTATATTTTTTGCTTAAAAGACTTATCATGAGCAGAATGCTATATTATCTTTCATCATAGGGAAGTGTATATTAAACAGGAATTTATTAAAAATTTTGTCATAGAACATAAAATGTGTTGGTAACAGGTGTTTTGTGCTGCTTGCAATAGAGTAATTATCCTTGCAAGATGGCTGAAAGTGTACTAAAAAGCAGTAGTTTGAGGGTATTTTTCAATTAGTTTTCAATCCTTCTGCAGGATTTTTTCCTTTAAAAAACATCAAAATGCAGTATTTTGGATGCTGTGAATTGTCAAAGATGCCTCATATTTCTGTTGATGTATTCTTGAAAGGTCCTTAATTTTATCATCATAACTGTGTGCAAACTATGCATAAGAAGGTTTATAAACAGTAGCCTAGTACAAGTGTTATACAGTTTGATACTGATTGAAAAGAAACCTTGTGTCAGTTTAAGGCAATATAAATTGGCTTGAAGAATACTCGGAGTTAATACAAAATGTAAATGTCCAAATACTGGAAGTACAACTGGCTGTGTCCCAATACTACTAGTAGACACTTTGATCTGAATTTTAGAAACTCATGAGACATGCTACTGTAGAACATTAAACACTTCAACAGAAATAACTATTAGTGTTTAATTATCAAACCAACCTGGCCAAGAAGTGCCCCAATCAGAGAAGACTTCCCACTACCTACTTGTCCACATACACCAATCAAAGAACCCTAGAAAAACAAGATATACACAAATACTTTATATAAGATAGTTATGTTTTCCATATTACTATAGTTATACTTAGAACATTTTTAGGCCACATTTACAAAAATATAGCAAATTAGTCAAAGGCATTTCTTCATTTTAATTTTGTTAACATAATATTAATTTAGCCATGTTTTGAATAAGAAAATATTCACCCATTCATAATAAGATTTAATTGTCTATTAACATTACACTTATTCATGAAGCCACACTTAGGAAACAATGACATCTTCCTAACATATCAAATATAAATAATTGTTAACACTGTATTGATTCATTTATTCACATTATGAATCAAGCATTTACATCTTTATCATGAATGAGATTCAAATATCTAAAAATAAACTATAATAAAACAAGTTAATGATAGCATTTATAACATATATAATTTTAAAAAAAGATATAAGATGGCAGATTTTAAAAGCTCCTTTTAAAGAACTTTAAAAAGCAAAACCCCTTGAAAATTTATAATGTATTGAAAAGATAATTATGTTAAACACTGTCAATGGCATTGGTCCACTGGGTGAACTCCATTTCTGTGAATCTATACATAGTAATGTTTATCACAATTCTGAATGTACTGTGTATATCGTCACAAAATTTGACAAATTTTTAGTACATATTATAAGTTTGTTGCAAATAAAAAATCAGTTGTTTCAATATAGTGTTTCTACTAAAGATATGTCTGAACTTGCAAAGCTTTTACCAAGTCATTCTGAGTGAAAGGTGATATTAATGATAAAAGTACATTTCATCTTACAGTTCATAATATTTCATTTGCATAACCTCTAGAACATCATAAAATAACTTTTTTTTCTGTAAAACTATATTTTATCTCATTCTCTACCCTAACACTAACTTTAGTGAAAGCATCAATGTATAGATGAAAAAATACAAAATAAAATCAATAGTTTTCTAGAATGATCACAGATTCTAACAAAAAATTACAATTGTTTCTCGATACACAGTTTATTCTTTTCACACATCTAGTTGCTTTTAATTTTATTACAATGCCCTATCTAAGTATGTGACAGGTAATTAATCACAGCAGATGAACCTAGGGTAAACAACCAATCCAGTTATAATCCTGTGGTACAGTTAGCTCAAGCTTTTCTTGTTAATTTTTTTACTTTTTTATTTAACCTAGCAAGTTTCTAATTTTTACATTTTATTTACTTTTATTAAAAAAATACATAACATTAAATATAAAATATACATAAAAACGAAATTTTGGATTTACATTAGAGATGAAGTATTTCTGTAACTCATACTCAACAGAGTACTACCTTAGCATTAGTTTCTTCATACTATGTTGATTTTCCATAAAATCATTAACGTTCCTTTCAAATATGCATTTCAGAGCTCAAAACATATCAGGCACAAGAATAAAATGCACCAAAACTACTAAATTTATATGGCTTTCTAACCAAGCTACAAACAGATTCATTAGCTGCCTGAAGCTGAACACCACGATCATAAAGAACGAGGCTGAGGCTAAATATCTACTTGCAGTTACCAAAACAATATAATTGTATAAGGAATCTTGTAAAGAAAAGTTTCTCATTCTATTGGTTATAAAAGAGTGCAACAGAAATGTCAGAGAGAGAGAGTTACTATCTCTTTTTCTGTCAGACAGAATAATATCGGATGGACATGTTATACAAGTTGACATTTTTTCGTATCTCAGTAAAACAAGTAAATTGGAAGTTCTAACTTTATATTCTGGTTTGTCAATATCTATAGTGTGTTTCTAATTAGCTTTACCCTCAGAAAAATGACAGAAAGAAAATCTAAAATTGGCAATTCAGAGCAAAGACATGTCACATGACACAGAAGTGAAGACTAAAAAACATACTTAAACAGTTCCTTTAGAAATTAAGAAGCTCAAACTTAAATAATATAAAAACTTGAATTATAAAATAGATTTTGGTGCCAAGCTTACTGATATACGTTGATAATAGTTGTTTTAATTGTTTACATAAACTTTGAAAGTAGCCCTGTAAAAGGTTGCGATGAGCACATTATGACCCAGCCATTTATCTTGGGTTAAGTTATGTATAACAAAACATACATAGCCTTTTTCTATCACTATCATTAATATGAAAGCTAGATATATTTGAAAATACATATATAAACCTTGGTTACTTGTAGACCTGAAGAGAAGTATCCTACATCCATCTAGAATAATGTAAAAAACTATCTACCCACAGTACCATACGATGAAATTTCTAAAGTGTAATCACAGTTGAGTGAGAATAATCATTATCTTATTTATAAGAAAACTGTAAAACCTGAGTCTAAAAAAAAAGTTTAAATACCTGTATACCTGAAAATGAAAGTTGAATAAACTTCATTTTTTCTTTTTGTACAAATGAAATGTCTTTCATATTAACCCTCTCACTATGGGTTTGGTGGATTAAACCAACCTCATGACCATCAGTTTCCATACTGTAAATTTTAATGTTTTATGTATCTTCACAAAATTTTTGAAGCTTTTAGTAAACATTACAAGTCTTTTGTAGACAAAAAATCAGAAATTTTACTAAATATTTCTTTGTGAATACATGGAATCAAAGTGTTGCCTGCTCCTAGCTTAAAGTGATTTTCATATTAAGAAGAATTTCATTTACATAATCCCTCAAACCTCCTAAATAAATATCAAATGATTTTTCAGATAAGCTTTATATTTATCTGTTATTTTCTCTAACCTAACTCTATACAGAGTTAGTCGATTTGACTGACCTCATAATCATGATAAAAAATTAGGAAATGAATCTAAACTACCTTTTTCTTTATAAAATGATTAAAAATTGTAAAAGGAAACAGCAATTGTTTATTCTAAACAGCTTAAAGCTTGTAACAGTATATATATGTTTATACTTAATTTCATTGTTTTATTGGCTTTCAAACTGTAACTAATAGTCCCATCACATAAGTTGTAATTCAATCTGCAAATATACATGTATCAAATTATGTAACATGTGAGCTGCTTGCGAGCATATCTCATGAAGAATTTTATCATTATTAAGATTCTTCATTATCTTACCTAGTCTAACCTTATCTAACCTAACAAATTTCTAATTTCAACATTTCAGATACTTTTATAATAATAAATAAAGAATACACATGAAAAAATAAGAAATATAACACTTACTCTTGTTTTTTTGCTGTTGACTGTCAATGAAATTTAATCCTGGTTTTTTTTATAATGGTAATACTACATTAATTTTTTTTTATTGATTAAATAATGCAAGTAAGAACACAGAATAATAACATGCACAAAGTAAATAATGTTCTATAACTATCATAATTTTTTCTGCCTTTTTAACTATGCGATAAGAGCCTTTAAAGATTCAGATAAACTTGATGTGAATCCCGTGATAAAAACTTTTAAACTGAAGGCAAAATAGATATTTCTCTGTACAGAGAATGACTTAATATAATATGTCATTTTATATATTAAAACTCTGGTTTTCTATTGGTTATAAATAATAGAGTATAAAATGTCAGAGACAGCTATTGGCAATTTGTGAAAGAGGATACGACAGATGGGTGTGACAAGTGAATCTGATTTTCTAGTTTATGGCTCTGCAAACAAATAAGATTGAAAGCTATGAACATTTTGCTTTGCCTGAGTATTATATGTTAAATTTTGTTAAATACACTAGAGAAAATGGAAGAACTAGAGAGCAAATGTCATAATTATCATACTAGAGAAAACTGAGGATATTTTCGAATATTTCCTTATAAAATTACAAACTTAAACAAAATTTGATTTATTAACAATGTTTGGAAGCCAAATTTATTCATATACAATGATAATAAAAGTAGCTTAATCAAGTTTTGCATGTAACTCTCTAAAGAGTCATGACATTCACACTTAGAACAGTTCATAGTGTTTAAGGAAAAACATTCATGAAGAAAAAAATGAACTAGTTTTGACGTTACTGAAATTTATTTTATGTATATTTGAAATCCAAAAATTGTAAATATGTACAATAAAAATTGACTTATATCTATGCTGGATTAATCAATAACTATAATTCATATACGTAGCATAATTGGGCTTTATTGATTTAAGAACAAGTTCAAAGAAATCTATTTATATATTTTTTTACCCTTTTCATAACAAAACTAATGTCCAGGAGTGCTGGGAGTGAAGTTGAAAAGTTGGAAGAAACTAAGGCTGTGTCAACTGAAGCTTCAGGATCAGGATGAGGGACCTTTTCTGTATCAGTTACTGTAAAAGTGAGAAAAATGTTTAACACATTTTTGTGGGAAAACATTTAGGCATTTTCTATTCAGAAACCTTTTAGAATTAATAAGGTTACTCATGATATTAAATGGTTGTTGATGTTATAATTTATCTTATAATAAGGTATATAAATCAGCGTAACTGTTGTTTTTATTAATGATATGCTTCATGTTTGTTAAAAAAATTACCAAACATATACTACTACTTCTTATTTGTTTGAACTATCAGGCCTGAGATATTTAACTGTGTAGATATTCTGATATTAAAAACCTTGAGTATCATATACAGTCTGTTTGACACAGAATGTTTGTAAAACAATACCACAGAATCCTGTTAAATGTACAGAAAATATAGAAATATAGAAATATTGTTAAAACACTTGAACAAGTTCTTCCATTCAGGCTTCTTACCACTTAAATTTAATTCTCCTTTGGTAGGTTTACAGCTTTTATGTGATAGTGAAGGTACTGATTGTTCCCATGACAAAGTGGCTTTGGATATGTAAACTGCATTTTCAGGATTTGAGGGTAAAGTACTGTAATTCTCTTTTTCTTCTAACTGAAGAATGCTCTATAAAAATGTAAAAAAATGTATGTGCATGTACATACATACATACATATATATATATATATATATATACACACACACACACACACA